AAAAAAAAAAATCAAAACGACATTTCAAATTGGAACAAAAACCCCGACGACGAAAAAATTTATCGTCGAACCGAGTTTTTCACAAGTTGGACAATAACAAGTGAAAATACACACGGGCGCACGTGCAAGAGAACAAAAGTATATATCTATCTATATATCTCTCTGTATGAAAACCTTTTTGAAAACGGGTGTATATATATATATATATACGTACACTTGAACTAGTTCAAAAACATTTACTTGCTACTCAGATTGAGCACTTTTTAGTTGATAATCAATTTGAATTTCGTCATTTCATTATATATATATATATATGTATATATTTATATAGTAAGCCAAATCAAATGAGGATCCACGATGTCTTGCTTCATTGATTCTTTTTTTTATGTCGGGTTGATTAGATTAGCAGTTCTATGCTAAAAGTCACACCAGGGGCTGCTAAAGACACAGAGCTGTATGCTGGGACACCAACGTGGAACACGAACGTGATTGGCGATCAGGTACATAGCAACTACTCGAAATATAACTTAAAATTCTTTCTATGAACTTCCTATTTTGAAATAAAGCTAATATTGTTAAATATTCAAAATTTTCTTTTTTTCTTTTTGGCTAGCTCCAATAAGTGAAGGATAAGAATTACTTCTTAAACAGTCAAAAATTGGTTTCAATTAAAGTAACCAAAACAACTCTTTTATTTAATGTGTTACAAGAATTATAATTGCAAATAGAACATGAAAAGGCTTATTGACTCAAACATATACCACTTTTTGAACCTTACAAAGAAAACAATCCATTTCTAAAAACTATAGAAAATATTCTAAACACACCTATCAACTAGCTACTAGCCCCTTATGAAAATTGTGGGATTGTCTGCTTTTTTGATTGATATCAATCCATATATAAGAAGTTTGGGAGAACTTGAAATTAAGATTTTTTGATGTTTAAAGGTCATGTTTTAGAAGGAAATAACTATAAAGGAAGTTCACTTCATATGCGTAACACCAGAAAAAAATAAACAACCTTTACTTGTTTTTAAACAACCACCTTTCTATCATAAGTGATACTTTATGACTAAACCATTCAGGATGACTTGTCAACTGAAAAGAAAACAGTTACCTTGGAAGTACCGACGGTGAAAACGCGTTCTGCTTTTGATGTAATGGAGCAAACCGGCGGTGGTTTTTATCGTGCAGAGGAATGCAAAATCCCCATGCTGGTATCTTCGGCATCAAATCAGGTACATTTCAAGGTTTTTCCATCTTTAAAGGATCCAGTAAGCCTAACCCTATTCAAACCGTCCGCCAGTCACTTTTTTCTATTTGGGACTACACTTTTTCTCTGAGAGTTAAGGTCATGAAAGTTACTGACCATGCAGTATGCAAAATATGATTCCAATTAAGACGCTTTTGATTAGGTCAGAAACGTTTTAAAAAGCCAGAAAGTATCATCTCTTTATTGATTTGGATTAGTTTTGGCCTCCTCAAGTAATACTGTAAAACAGACTGTACAAAACAAGAATATTTAAATAGATCAAAGGAGCTGACGTTTGAGCCCTTCTAGCATTTCCATAAAAGGACATCAAAAACTGATTGCCATCATGTGAAAACGTCATATATTATCTCAAGCGAATACAATTTCGAAAAAAATCATGACGTTTATATTTAAGCAACAGAAAACGTT